GAGAATTAAACTTTGAGTTCATTATTTTTATTTTCACTGCTGTTTTGTACACTGTACAACGCGATATGTCGTCCAAGATAACTGTACAGCTTTCCGAAGAAAAAAAAACTGGCGGCTATTCAATCCCCTTTTCGCCTTCAATGTCCTCTTCATAACATAACTGTAAACAGAGAAGAGATAATAATTTTTCAATAAAATATTTCATATTATATGTAATTTGATTTGTATGTATAACTATCTGAAAGGCTATATTGTACTGAATTTTTTAAAATACATGTTTTATGTAATACATATTTTTTTAGCATACGATAAAATATCGCCAACATTATAAGCTTAATCATTTCTAATGTCCAGAACTGTGTAACGTAAATGTCATGCATTTAAGAAGTATGTTTACTTTTTATAATTTAATTGCACCTGCACGCGCGGTTCAAAAGAAAAAAATGTACAAGGAGTACATATACATGGACTCGAATATAACAAACTTATTAGCACACATCTAATGATGAAAATGAAAATAATTGATGATACACTTTTACAACTTCATTTCAATGATAAGTTATTCTAAAACTTTACTTCAAATGTCAAAAAGGCCAGCACAGCCAAACTACTCTTAATTGTCTCTGTTTTAATTACAATGTCAATCACAATATAACTTTTTTCCTTAGATCCCTTCATTTCTTATATGTACATAGTTACATGAAATCCATGCACGGTGCTACACCTGTCAATCAAAATTGTAAACTTCTGGTGCTACGGAAGCATTTCCCCTGTGGTGTAAAATATTCTTTAGGTCAATTCTAATTTTACGCTTTTTAGATACAGAGTAATATTTCGAAACAACGTTTTAATTAAGGCTGAAGATGCATGCTGTGAATTTATCAAACCTACAGTCCTAATTGACGATCCTTTCTTACATGTATATTATAATTAATCAGAGAGTCCAGTATTTGTGACAAATTTTGATTTAGATTTCACTTTCTTTTTAGGATAAAATGATTGATTAAATAGATTATGCATATGAGATGGATACCTGTGCTACATACTTTTCACTTTGTAACAAGAATCTGTTATTGACAATTAAAAATGACGATTTTAGGTAAAAGACTTTGACAAATGACAAGTTATTCCTTCTTAGTCACTATATACCTTAAAGCTGTACGGTCGTGCCCCCCCCCCCCCCAATGTTTTTATTTTTTTTATTTATTTTTTTTTTGCTTATATATCAAAAAATTTTGATTGTGCCCCATCTCAGAAAAAAATGAAATTGTTTTCTACAGGCTAAAGTCAGAACATGATTTTCATGATTTAATGATAGTACCTTTATCAAAATGTTTCTCAAGGCCGTAGAAACCGGGGGAGGGGGGTTGCTTGTCAAGGAATTTTGGTTGATAGTGCCCCCTCAACTGAAGATGTATGGCTGTGTCCCCCCCCCCCCCCAAACTGAAATTGCTTCCTACGGGCCTGTTTCTACCCCTACGATTCGGAGTCGTGGTTTCGAATACCACCACGTCGCCCGCGTGGCGCAGTGGTTTGAGCGTTTGCTCTAGAGTCGCGGAGAAAGGAGTTAATCTTTACGTCGCGGGTTCGACTCACTCTGCAGGACGTGGAGACCGGTCCTTTGCATGAGACCGTATAAACCGAGATTCCGTGTAGCAGTAGATGCTGGCACGAAAGAGATCCCTCACTGCTCAATGGCCTTGAGTGTCGAGTATAGGTCTGAATTTGCAGCCCTCCACCGGCAAGTGGTGGCGTTTCCATATGAGTGAAAAATCTCGATAGGGACGTTAACACACACACACAAAAACCCCAAACAATTCCACTACAGAACGTGGAGTATGGTCCTTCGGATGAGACCGTATAAACCGAGGTCCCGTGTAGCAGTAGGTGCCGGCATGAAAAAAATCCACCACTGCTCAATGGCCTTGAGTGTCGAGTATAGGTCTGAATTTGCAGCCCTCCACTGGCAAATGCTGGCAGCTCAAGGGACGTTAAACAGCAAACAGACAATCAAACAAACATTTTTGTGTCGCCTGCAGAGCAGAGCATCACTTAGCGATCAATTTACCTTGCGTCTGTCTTGCTGTCCGTCCGTCTGTCACACCTTATATCTCGAGAACTGTAAGAGGTATGGATTTGATAATTTGCACATATAGCTTGATACTATGGCTTTTGTATTTTTCCATGGCTTCCGACGTAGATATCCATGAACTTGAACTTTGACCTACTTTTCAAAATAACCAATAATGGCGATATACAACTTCTTTTTGATATTTAAGAGGTAAGTCTATGCTATTTAGAATGTGCACTGTTTGTCATAAAACATTTTGAAAAATACCAGCGTTACAGTCCACTTGACCTTGACCTTTGACCTATTTTGTAAAATATACTGCAGAGAGTTAAATTTAACTTTTGTCTTTTGAAATTAGAGAGACAGGGTTTGATAATTAACATTTATACATGTTTATGAGCTCATGACAATGTATTTTGACACTGTATGAAATAAAGAAACCACAAAAACTGAAATTTAAGTACTATGAAAATACAACGGGATTGGTATTCCAAAATGGATGGTGTAGACTGACAATTGCGGATATGATAGACTGAAGCCTCTTTTGAAGGATTGTTGAAATCACGTACTTAAATAATTTATAAATTATAATTATTTATAATAAATTTATTCAAATTTCATTAATATCCATTTTAGCTTTCAGGGGTTAAGGATTTGCATTTCCATTTGATTGTTAGATTCTATCGCAGTCTTACTATCCCTGGATTTTTTTTTTGTATGAACTATATGCCATGCCATAACAAATAAATAGCTGATCACTTTTAGACTTAGTTACATCTTTAATGAAGCTAAAAGCAGGTGACACATGCGTTCCTGGGAACACTCTTGTTCTGTAAGAAATCGGCAAAGATAATTAAGCAGAGATTTTTGATGAAGAAAATGTTTTTTTTTTTACCCTTTTATAACGCTGACTATATATACATGTATGGTCTGCGTTATAAAACATGATGTGATAGGGTAACGTAGTGCACCTTGTACACGTACTCAAAGACGCCGACGTTTTTCAATATCGAAATTGGACATAAAACATATTTACAATAAGGTTTGAAGCCAGCGAGTTAAACATAATAAATTACAACTATATTGAAACGAAATGAAAAAAAAAACGTGTAAACTTGTCAAGTCGGAAACACTCAGAAGGGTATTGTTGGTATCATACAGACTGTGTCATGGCCTTGACTCAAGTTCAAGGTCACCAAGAATAAGATGCTTTTACTGGATGTGTGGTCTGAAAGAACATGTGTTAACTTGTCAAGTCGGTAACACAGATAGGTTTGCGTCATAACCAGAGTGTGTCATGGCTTGACGCAAGGTCATCTGGACAAGTTCAAGGTCACGAAATAGAAAGTGTACATTATTTTATTGTCTTTCTACTGGCGAAGCATTGCAAGTTGATAGTCCCTTACAAGATTATTTATCATCTTAGAGTATGGCATGACCTTGACTCAAGGTCACTGCTCCAACGGAAGACCTATTCGTTACTCTGCAACGAGCTCGGCTCTAGTTCTTTTTTTTTCCTAGACGCCAAATTTGAGACCTCATATCTTGCTCATTTCACAACGGATTTTGCTCAAATTTGCAGGGTTTAGAGGCGTTACAAAACTCTATCAGAATTCTGTCAAACATTTCAAAAACCCACTTCCGCTTTTGGGTTATCTCCCTTTAAATGAAAATTTAGGAGGCTTCATTTCCAGACAAAGGCTACAAAAGCTGGAGTAGAAATTCTACCGAATTTAAATAATGGAAGCACTGAAGTTGTGCACATCGGTTTTTGTTTTTCAATTCCTGCATTCAAAATGGCGCTAGAGAGGGGTCAAAAATTAGAACGCCTAAAAGAGCGAAAATTTACACATATTTTCCTTTTTATCTTCTAAACTAAAAATATTTTGATAAAACATGTAGAATAAAAGTTGTGCACAATTTTAAGGCCTTTCAATTGAGACCACTAAAAAGGGTCTGGCCCCTTAAATTAGGGATCTGGGGCCCTTTAAAGTTTTTGCTTTATAACTCAAAAAACGGTAAATATTTCGAAATAGCTGCCGTAATTAAAGTTGTTATTTAACATCTTATTGATCTCAAGAAAACCACTGGGTGAAAAAAGCAGTTTCCCGTCATGGGAAACTATATGGAAACCACATGGAAACCTGAAGATTACATCATGTTTCCTAGTGGTTTCCGCAGCGGATGCCAGGTTATTCCGTCAAGTTTCCGTGCCACGGAAACTACTACGCTCCGATTCCATTAGGTATCCCGAACCACGGAAACCTCAGGAAACCTGAAGTTTCCCGAGCCTCCATGTAGTTTCCCATAATGGGAAACCAGAAGATTCCACTGGTTTCCATAATTAGGAAACTATGTGGAATCGGAGCGTAGTGGTTTCCATGGAATGGAAACTTGATGGAATCCTCAGATTTCCCATGAACGGAAACTAGAGGAAACCTCGTGATTCCCCAAGTTTCCATGACTCAGGAAACTACATGGAATCGGAGCGTAGCAGTTTCCGTGTGATGGAAACTTGGTGGAATAATCTGGTGTCTCATAAAAGGAAATTACAGGAACACTTCAAGATTCCCTTATTTATCTGAGACGGGAAGCAATGTGTAATTGCGGTGTAATAGTTTCCATACCATGGAAACTACAGGGTAGGTGGAGCATTTCAATTACGAAAAATGATTGACAAGCAACTGGAAGCTCAAGGATCCCTCTATTTTCCATGGTAAATCTTTCTTGTCTAGAATATGAAAAGAGAACAGCAGGTTTAAATCAAAATATATATTATTAATTTCCTTGGTAAACTGTGTTTTCTTTTCAAAATCTATCAAGAAAATGTATAAAAAGGAAAAAGCATTATCAAACCATATGTTTAATAATTCATTTGATGTGCAAAAACATTATTTGAAAATGATATCAAAATAAATAAAATCATATATCTTGGTAAACAATGAAGTAGTCTTTCACATCTAATTATATAAGTCCATTCATAAACTTCATTAAATACTCTATACTTCTTTCAACATCAGCTTCCTTATTTTCTTCACATCATCTGCGATCTGCAATATATTTTCATACAAAATTATTATTTGATGTAAGAATTGTATGCTTGAATATTATTTAGAAATCTGACATGATCACTCAATGTACTTTAATGTACCAATATCAGTGATTAGTTTCAGTCTTTAAATTTTATAATGAAATCCGAATAATGAACATTACATAGTAAGGTTTTAAGCCAGATTAATATTAAAACAGGTATGATTGAGAATATGACCATCTCATGCATGTAGAACACTGCTTTTAGTTGAGTGGAGAGAAATGTGCTCTGGACAAGGATATAACAAATCTTTTTTTCTTATTAATTAACATTAGACCTAGAAAATTGGTTAAAGATCACTACACACCCTTCATCCCATGGCACACAATCCAGATCATACCAAGGGAGAAAAATTATGCTCTGGACAAGGACTTTAGATAAAGATATACAGTGTATTTTGATACTGACCTTTGACCTAGATAATTAGTCCAAGGTCACTTTTTACCCTCCATCCACAGGCACTCTATGAGTTAAATTTGAGTGAGATTGGGCTATGAGGAGAGAAAATATACTCAGGACAAGTGATATCAGATGAACAGACAGATCATCTCATGGCATCCACAGAACAGGACCCTAAAAAATCAATGCATATATATGTAAAGTTATATCCATATAAGTCAATATGAATTCATCATATGTTGCATTGCATACACATGCTTTAATCATGTTTAATACCTTATGAATAATTTCAAATTGCATGTACACTCAGTTTACATAAAAATAATCTAAATTTCATCAAAGACGACCAACATAACAGCCATTCAAGATTTAGTTAATCAACATTCAGTACAAGTTCTATATGCTATATCATATGTACAGACACATACTAGTATTATTTACCTGCATTCTAAATCTTGTTTTATGTCACTGAAAATTAAGGCGATAGCCCTTAACCAATTTTAGCCCCAATTTACATACATGCATGTTGTAATGTTTGTTCAAGACTTCCCATTTATAAATATTACCTTATAGTATATTTAGTTAACATATACCTACATTTAAAGCTTCAATGTGTTTCCCTGAATATTTTAGAAATTACAGTCATTAAAATACTGACCAGCCAGAAATCAGTAAATGCATGTGCATGTCCTTATTTTTCATTCTTGTATTGTTTCATTTAACATGTTTCAATGTTAAAAAGTTTTAGTAAGTTATACAGTTATAATATTTACTACTTTATCATAGCCATACAGTTGAACTTTGGCATCTCAAACACAGACATCTCGAATACCATAGATACATGTATGTTGAAGTAATTTGAAAGTATTCTTTAAGCATTTTAATTACTCCTGATATCTTGAATCCTCAAATATCTCAAAATATTTTCAATGATTGAATTGAACTTTGAACCATGGCAAAAGGACTCTTAAACAAATATTCATTATTCTTAAGATGAAGTCTACAGATTACAAAATTATAAGTTGCTCAACAATGATCATATCAACAATATTTAAGAGAGTTGATCATTTCCCCTTGGGGTGAAGGGGGGGGGGAGGGGGGCTTCCTCTGTACAATTTAGAATATCCTTACTTTGTGTCAACCTTGGTTAAAATTAGTGGTTCTTGGGAAGAAGTTACAGATGTGAAAAGCTCACAGATGGATAGACAGTTTGATGGACAAAACACAAAACAAAAGGTGATTAGAAAAGTTCACATGAATTTTTAGCTCGAATGAACTAAATTCCTCACTGCATGGTGTATATTATGCGAGATATTATCCAGACAGAAAATTTTATAGAGGAGTGAAAAAGAAGACTCCAAGCCATAATTTTACATAACCTCTTGTAGTTTGCAATTGGTATTTCAACATTCCAATTAAACTCAAGTTCTTTTCTTTTCATACAATTGTTATACATGCCTATTTATGATTGAATTAATTACCACTTACCACACGATCACATCTTGATTCATCATACATCTTACTGGTTCTCCTTTAATGTCAGTTTTCTTCTCTCTGAAAGAATTTATTATGTACAGTTACTACTGCATTCTGATTTCACCTATGAGACCAACAATAAACAAGTGTCCCAGGGGCCACATTGCTCACCTAAGCACTTTGGGTAGGAAAAAATATAAATCAGTTCAGTATTGAAAAGTTTACATATAAAAGTGGTTTGGAGGGGGGGGGGAATTCTACACTTTCTAAGGATGCTTTTGAATTAATATGACACATATTAGCATTGCTGTTCTTAAGAAGAAAATCCTTTTTATTCCTTTGTATAACTATGATCCCCTGTTATGGCCCCTCTATTCTCCAGGGGGGGGGGGGGGGGTCATGATTTAAATAATATCTACATTACTTCATCGGCCGTGTATATAAATATGACCAATCATGGCTTCGTTGTTCTTGAAAAGAAGAATTTCTAAGATTTTTCCTATGTACTTTGATCATTCATTGTGGCCCCATCCTACCCAGGAGGTCATGATTTGAACAAACTTGAATTTATACTAGTTGAGGATGTTTCAATATAAGTGTCATCTTTCCTGATACAGTGGTTCTAGTGAAGAAGATTTAAAAGATTTTTTCCTATGTATTCCTATGTAAAATTGATCATCCATTATGGCCCCGTCCTACACTGGGGGTCATGATTTAAACAAATTTGAATTTACACTACCTGAGGATGCTTCCAAATAAGTTGGAATCTTTCATTGCCATGTGGTTCCAGAAAAGATTTTTAAATGATGCCATAAATTTTTCATTTATTTGTAATTATTTCCCTTTAGAAGAAGATATGGCCCTTTATTTGAACAAACTTGAATCCCCTTTATCCAAGGATATTTTATAGCAAGTTTGGTTGAAATTGGCCCAGTGGTTCTTGAGAAGATTGAAATGTGAAAAAATTACGAAAACAACGGCGACAGACAAATTTCGATCAGAAAAGTTCACTTGAGCCTTTGGCTCAGTATGCTAAAAATGATTTGTTTGATGTACTCCGAATAACCCATCAAAATCACCCCTACCCAATCATTTTTTTAAGTATTGAAATTTTATTTCAATTTTTTTTTTCTTTGGTTTCATTGAAATAAATTTTGTTTCATTATAAAGTTGAGGTTTATAATTTCTCCAAGACACTTGTTTTATGGAGAAATAAATATTAAATCTGTCTAGCTGTCCAGTGTACATAATGAAACATCAAAATTTCTAATTCTGTGTTTTTGTATGACAAAAATCAATTTGTTAGATAGATACTACTGAGAAGCAACACCTAATTTATTTTTTGATTTGATGCATATGAACATTACGTGTTTAAGATGGATGATTAAACATCATACTTATTGAACACCAGTTTAAATAGTCGTGTTTATATGTTAAACGCTAATGTTTTGTGTTTAAACACACTATGTTTAATTGTAAAACACGACTGTTTAAAAATTAAACACAAGTTAAACATCATTTTTTACAGTGTACATGTAAAACAATTAATAAATTATTGGGGTTTTTTTTCTTCTTCAATGAATTGCCTTAGCATGCAGTTCTTCAGAAGACGTTATTCTTAAAGAAAAGAAAATCATTTAAATAAATATCATAGAGTTTTCTTTATTTAGAGCAAGCATTGGTCTTTGTGTACAAAATGGCTAAATTAAATATACGTGCATGTATGCATTTAAGACCAACATTATTGTAATTTCATGCGAAAAATGAAGACATTTACTACATCAGGGTCTGTGTACAGATATAAAAAATGTAAGTTATTTAGTTAACACGCATTAATTTTTTATACGAATATTATTCTGCTGTTTTATCTTATCAATGTCTTAAAGGCAACACATTAAAGTTGATAATTAATAATTCTTTCTATGTTTTCAATATTCAAAGTTTACATTGATGTCAAACGTTAAACAAGGACGATTCGTTATTTACCGATTAAGAAATTTTATTTCATTTATCTATGCACTTACAAATTTGTTTGAAAAAGAATTATGATTTAACACATAACGAGAATTTAGATTTATTCTAGACCGATAGAAAAGTATATATGATTTTTAAACGGTTAGGAAATTTTCTTTTTTAATCAGTAATGAAAAATTGAAATACAATTCTTTTTTTTCTTCTCTCATTGAACATCTTAAAATTAATGTAGCTGATTTTATCAATATTTTGTGATCTTATTGATAATTTAATTTTTTTTTAAATCAAATCAATAGCCAACAATTATCACCTAGATTTAAACTGAGTTTGCGGAGACTAGGTGTATGTACATGCTTGACCACAGCCTATTGTTTCCCTTAGGTAGAAAATCCTCTCAAATAACATAGAATATACAAGAAATATACAGTCGCAGGTGTCTTCGCGACACGTGTCTCCACCTGTGGCACGTGAGAACAGGTGCCCGCGATTACAAGGGTCAGCGCAATGATTGAATTTTATCTGACCAGTTTACACTGTTGTATTAAATCTTCTCTATTAATTCCAATCCACGTGTCTTAATGAGTTTTGCCGAGACTAAAATGTTAAAAATCATTTAATTTGGGTTTACGGTCACAGAATGTTCAATTTTATTACACAGAATTACACAAACAGTTTTTAAAATTATTCTTTCGATACACGTTTCCAAAATGTCTATTATCGGGAAAATAGGTGTAAACCACGGCATACGTGTTTTCCATATCTGGGAAACATGTGGGAAACTACAGGTTGATTGCTTCCATATCGGGAATCTACGTGGAAACCACTACTGCAAGTTTCCGCGGTTTCCCATATTGGGAAACTTACGGGAAACCACAGATTGATTGTTTCCATATTAGGAATCTACGTGGAAACCACTACTGCATGTTTCCACGGTTTCCCATTTTGGGAAACTTACGGGAAACCACAGGTTGATTGTTTCCATATCGGGAATCTACGTGGAAACCACTATGTGGTTTCCATAAAATGGAAACTATATGGAAACTACTGATGTCACGATTCCCATATGTTTCCATCGGGTTTCCAAATTTGGGAAACCTGGCTTTTCATCCTGTGAACGTTATTTTGTTTGAGTCTTGTGTTCTAAATGAGCTAGAAGCATAACACATATACAGGTAAGTGTTTTCATTCAGCAAGTAAACAAGAGCTCTTCATGCGTGTAATTAAAATAAACTTACTATAAATAATAAACCTAGATGCTAATATTCTTTAGAAACAGGTTCTTGAAGTATTTTGTGCTTTATTTCCAAATTATTTACTGACAACTTTCCTTTTTAATTCGTTTGTTTTCCAATTTTGATAAACCAGTCTCCTAAACAGGGAAAAAAGAGATAACCTTTTCTTCTTGTCATATAAAAACAAACAATAAAGTTAGAAAATAAAACAAAACTTTAAACATAGACTATTCACAGCCATTAAGTACACGCCTTTTACATTCACCTTGTGTGTTTACAATTATGTAACCCCTCCCTCGATAGCGCGTGGCAAAGGAGGTCACCGAGGATCAATTGGCGTGTGAACCAGCGACCTAAGGTCATACACAAAACAAACCATAGAATGGCCATTCCAAATACATTTTAACTAAGTGATGAGTGGATAAATATGTTGAATCTTTCAGATTATTTCATATCTTTGATTAAGTCGCTAGTACATTTCAAGTTATATTTTATTCGCTGAATTACAAGAAAGTTGCATATTCATTCTTATAAACATTGCATTGTTGAGATAATTGCGCTTTGTGGAAAATTACTTTAAAATCATTTCGAATCTTTCATATGATTTCGTCTTACTGTTTAATTATCACTCGCTCTTTGTAATCAGCTAGTCTAAACTTCACTTATTCACTTCAAATTCTATGCATTTTGAATGCCTAAAAAGACCACATTGTTTGCGTATTAAAGAAACAGTTTATTTATCTCTCTTATGTTATTATTTAACGAGTTGCTATTTCTATCATGAACATTAAACAGGATGCATATAATTATCACGGTAATTGTATGTTGAGGTCACATTTTTAATTGTCAGGAAAATCGAAAATAAAATTAAGTACTTTTTAATTTGTTTATGTGGAAGAGCGCCCAAAATAAATACACTTCGAACTCTGGAATTTCCCTATTTTACTGTTTAAATCATAGGTCCGCTCAGCTGACGAGTTGTTTTAATAACGGTAATAAATTATATTCAAGTCCTGGCCAGCGATCGTTACGGTTGGTGACATTGCAATTAAACAGGTCGATACTAAGGTACTAAGATACTAACGGGTATATATATTTTCACCTAATATGTTTTCATTAAGTGTTTTCATAAGAAGTAAATTGCTGGAGGATATCATGTTCTCCCTGATCACATCGATAGCGTGTATAAACAGCGGTATATGAACACACGCTTCTGTATACAAAGCAAACGTTTAAACCAAAAGGATGTGAAAAAAACGACGAAATAAAAACATTTCTCTATTAACTGAAATTATTGTCTTTAGACAGATAAAAATAAATGATTATCCGCCTGAGAACATGTGAAAATTATACCAAATTACAATGTAACGAAGGATTTTGGGTTTAATTCCGAGTACACAATTATAGCAATGATGTGTACATGTACATGCAGAATACCGCTTTTTTTTTTTATCCTTCGTCCATGTGTTCCTCCTCAACGGAAAAAATTATCAGTAAATTACATTATACCGAACGAGGTTGAAAAATGCTGAACTTTATTTTTTAAAATTAACAGCAATTATCCGACTTTTCTCATATCACTGTAAAAATGCCCTAAAAAGTAAAACCGTCTGGTTTGACTTTGTCAACGCGTTTTAGATCGGGTTTGAGATTTTTATTAAATGTCTGGAGTATTTCGCTTATTCTGCAAGTCCTTATAATAAAAGAAAACACTGGCAGATTTAGAGGAGGTTCAGGGGGCCTGCCCCCACTGGCGGATTTAAGGGGGGCATGGGGGCGCACCCCCCTCCTAAAATTTTCAAATTACATGTATGACATGGCTAATATTGATAATGCCATACGTTGGTTTTATAATTAATGGTCAATTAAAAAATGGTAATTTTATTTTAAGACCAAGTATCGGTTTTCTTAAAAATCAAGTCTGAAAGCCTTGCATTCCCTAGGTTATGAATAT